CAAGTTGACTGAATTTCAGCTAGGGGCTAACGATGTAAAAATAAATTACAACAGTTAGAGGGGAATCGGATGCACAAAATGAGAATTGCAAAGTGCGATTAGTGAACAGCGGGCATAGACTAGCAAAACTCGAAAGGAGATGACAGCGGGCAGTTCTTAGAGAAAAGGCCTGTATTTAAGGACATTCAACCAAAAAACAGGTACTAAAATCGTTAGATCTCACAGAAAAACCACTAAAAATAATATCCTCCACTTATCTTCAAATTTAAAACCAGCGGCTTGACCTTGCACCTTGTTGGCGGAGTGAGCGACCGAGGAAGGCTAACGCCGTCGCCTGGGCTGCGTCCCGCAGTTGACCCCCTCGGGTTTATATGCAGGCGTTCTCGGCAGCGGCGTCGGCGGCGACAGCGGCAGCAGCGATTGGAAGGTTGTCTAGTCGTTGAGCTAGCTCATTGCTGAAATGAAGATGGTGAGCGGACAAGGACAACAAGGCAGTATTCAGCTTACATGGGGGTCGATTACCTTGTGGTCTCCTGCGAGGCTGTAGATCGATACGCGTCTTTGGGATGACGAGGCGATGGTCGGTACACCCGTCAACACCCGCGATCGCCTTCGTCACCAGCACGTCCCGCTGATCTCGCCTCCGGACGAGGACATAGTCCAGCAGGTGCGACTGACGCGACCGAGGATGCCTACAGGTGGCCTTCTCTCGCTCCGGCAGACAGAAGAAGGTGTTCGTCAGGATGAGGCGGTGTTCTGCGCAGGTGCAGAGAAGGAGCGGGCCATTGTCGTTTGAGCCACGCGGACCATGGAACCTAGCACTCCTCTCCAGGCAGCATGGTCTGGGCCGACGCGGGCGTTGAATTCGCCAAGGACAATCAACTTGTCCGCCTTCGACACAGCCGCCAAGAGGGCGTGCAGGTCTTCGTAGAATTTGTCTCTTGCTGTCTCGGGGCTGGTTATGGGGGGAGCGTAGGCGTTGATGAAGGTGACTAATTCGCCCCCACCCCGTAGAGGCAGATGGAGGCTCATGAGGCGATCGTTGATGCCTTGCGGCAAACAGGACAGTCGTCCCACGATGTCGTTCCGGATGGCGAAGGCGACACCCGCGTCTCGTCGCTCTGGCCTGGGTTGACCGTTCCAGATGAAGGTGTAGCCGGTACCCACCTTCCCCAGTTGGCCTTGTTCGGAGAATCGAGTCTCGCTGAGTGTGGCGATGTCCACCTTGTAGTGTGCCAGTTCCCGAGCCACTAACGCTGTCCTCCGTTCCGGTCGGTTGCTCCTCAGATTGTCTAAAAGGGAACGAACATTCCAGGCTGCCAGAGTGAGCGGACTCATCCTGCGAGTCTGGCGAGTGGGGCGGCGAAAAGGAGAAGAAGAGGAAGAAGGAGAATGGGCAGGAGGAGAGGTTGATGTTGTTTCGGTTTTAGTTGTTTTGACCGTGTGTGTTTTGTCTGCGGCCACGGCCAGCCTACAGACAGCGTGGTTCCCAACAATTTTTAGGGCACCTTTTCTAGCCACTTCCCCCTCGCGGGGGCAGGCAGCGCATCTCATAAATAGAGCTGTCCGGCTATCCCAGACGGCCACCGAACTCCACTATGGGCCACGACTTTTTGTTAGTGAGAGAAAGACCCCAATTAGCCTGGAACCCTAGTGG